ATAATATTAACTTCACTATTTTACTTTCAGAAAAATTACATCTCATTTATTATATAACTTTACTATTATGTTACACATTACCTCAGGTTCTGGTGGCCTATACAGCAGTGCGTCAAACACGCTTGTAAATGTGAACATTGCAAACAATGTAGCGTCAAGGTAGCAGGAGTTGTGGTGGCCCTGAATGCCGCGGTTCTTGCCCGCTAGGTCGCCAAGCGAATTCAAGGGTGGCACTACTCCGGGAACCACTGGACAATCTGGCTATAAAAAATAATTGAACAATATTAATTAGCTTACATTTACTGAGTTGCATTAATATATATTGTAATAAGTGGTCATTGATAAATGATTAATACTACTAAAGCGGTCGGTGCTGGCTGCTGGTGTGGGCGGTCGGCGGCAGAAGTCACAGAAGACTCGAGTTAACTAGTAGGAAATGTGCAATTACTTGTCACCGACAAATGATCTTTACGTGTTCTTTACCACAGAAGAGGAAAAAGTACTACGCGCACACAATAAAAGTAGAGTTGTAAAATTGAAATTTTTGCTTCGTATTACGAAACGCAGCAATGTCAAGCTGCCATTTTACGCTGGAATTCTGTGAGGGCGTGGTTCTTCCCCGGTCGAGCCGACCTATTCGTTCTATAACTATACTACTAATATAGCTGCAGCACGGCTGTGTTGTTTTCGCTTTATGTACCGTGTATGTTGACAATACTTGACAGGTTCGAAAAGTTGCCATTGCTAATTACCACTTTTTTATTAACTTACTTTCTTGTCTGCTCGGTACAAATTTTGGAATTGATTTTAAACTAATTTTCCGATGAATTAGAGAATTGAAACTTTAAATATAGCGCAAGACTAAAAACGTGGTATTATTTCCATTTAGAATTATAATTAGGTATCTCTTTTAATGTAATACGTATCCGCAAGAGTCATCATCATCATCATTACAGCCCTTCACAAGTCCACTGCTGAACATAGGCCTCCCCCAAGGCACGGTCTTGAGCCACCTGCATCCATTGACTTCCTGCGTGTCTCGCCAGGTCGTCACTCCATCTAGTGGGAGGTCGCCCTACACTTCGTCTACCGGTACGAGGCTGCCACTCGAGAACCTTTCTTCCCCATCGGTTGTCGGTTCTTCGAGCTATATGGCCGGCCCACTGCCACTTCAGCTTACTAATCCGTTGGGCTATTTTGGTTACTCTGGTTCTACTGCGGATATCCTAATTTCTAAGTTTATCACGTAGAGACACCCGGAGCATAGCCCTCTCCATAGCTCGCTGAGCGACCTTGAGCTTCCTCATACGGCCAGCAGTGATCCGCAAGAGTAGTTTATAGTAAATAATATACGAGTATAATAGTTGATCCTGTTCTGTCGTATGAAAGTACCGGATCGTCGAAGTGTTGGTCGCGGTGCACGTGGGCTCGGTCGGGCGGCGGCGTGTCGCGGAAGCGCGCGTCGCGGCGGCACAGCGCCAGCGGCACGAACAGCGCGCGCCCCGCCGCGCACGAGAACAGCTGCGCGCCCGCCCGGCTGCCGTCGCCCAGCCCGCACACGCTCTGCTCCAACTCCACGCCCGCCGTCGCCGTGTCTGACAGTGAAACAATGTCCCGTCTGCTCTTTTCCTTTTATTCATAAATTCATGTCGAGAGTTAAATTGAATAATTTTATAGAGCAACACTGGCCACCGGCGCATCGGAGGGGAGTAGCCAACAGGCGTTCCACGCAGTCCGTGGGTAAAATAAAACTAGTTTCAGCCGCACTGCTCATTAGACTCAATCTAGTTGCGCGGCTGAATTGACGTCCTACAAAATGCCGAATCGTTCAGTTTTGTGCGCAAAAAGAGATCTGCTATGTCAAATTTACAAAAAGATGGCCTTACTATCATATAAGTAATTTTAATCTCATTATTGCTATTTACTTCTTTTTAAACTTAAAAATTATAATATCGTGTATAATAATAAGAATAATGGTCGTATTATATCGGATTTGTTTACGAACACAAGCAGCTCGACCTCATACAATATGCAGATCGATCGAGCGACTGATCCGAGGCTGTATATGAGTCTAGCGTTGTCACCAAGCGATACTGTTATAATTTATCCATGTGTATGAGTCAAATTGTTAGATTATAGTTTTAATTGTTATGTGTGAGTGTGGTTCAGTGACAAACAATTATTTTTCAGTGTGCAGGTTTTCTCCCGCAAAAAATGACAGTTCTGTATCGAGGAAGAACATTATGGCTACAGTCCGCCGGTGACCCGTGTTGCTGTATGAAATAATTTAAATAAAGTTTTGAACACAATATGTCACAAATTGAAATAACGTACACAAATGAAATTACTTATCTGATGCGTTCTACCGTAGGATTTTGGGCAAACAGATGGACTCGATCTAAGGGTCATCCTGATTATATTGCATTTAAAAATTAAAATCACGCCTTTTTAATCGTATTTGCATATAATTTAATAGGTTTAAAAGGGCAAGAAAATTATTTTTTGAAAAATAAAGGCGAAGAACTTGTGTAACGATAAATATAATATTATCAAACATTGAACCGTTACGATCGATTGTGCTCGTCCTACTACTTATCTTCACGCACAATCCCTGACGGGGTAGCCAGAGAGAACAGATCGCCAAGTGTCACGATCCTTACATACCTTCCGTTCTCATTAAATATTTTTGATAGGCCCCTTCTTGGACTTTTTGTGATTATTACGTTTGGATTTACGGTAGAACGTAATATAACACAAAACTTGTTGCAGTGAAGTCATATGGATCAGAGAGATGTTCCTTCACTGCTGGCCGTGTGAGGAAGAAGCTCAAAATGGTTCCGCGAGCTATGGAGAGGGCTATGCTCCAAGTTTCCCTGCACGATAGACTTTGTAATGAGGATGTCCGCAGCAAAAATAGAGTAAACGACGTAGACCAATAAAAAGGAGCGCAATACCAATGGACCGGCCATATAGCTGGAAGAACCGATAACCGGTGGGGAAGAAAGGTTTTCGAGTGGCAGCCTGGCACCGGTAAGCGAATGCCTCGGATCCAGTAAAAAAGGTCTTCAGTTCTCTATCTTCATCATACGAAACACAGCAGCATTGATCTGCTATTATGGTTCCAGAGATATCGTGATGAGTTAGTACATGGGTAGGAATCTCTTAAAAATATATATTTTAAAGAAGGAGAAGATAGAAGAATAAAAACCCCGACTACAAAATACTTACCTTAAAACTTAACTTACCTAATTTAAAAAAAAACCTTAAAAACGAGACTGTAAAGACAAAACCTTCCTAATTTGGGTGGAACGGTCTAGCAACTGTGTGCGGAAATAACCAGCATTGTATGGGATATTGTATACAGTTGTATGGGAGAAGATGAAATAAACTATGGTTTTCTTCACGTCATCCGCCTTTATAATAAACTATATTGGATACAGGCTATTATAATAGCTCACAAAATGAAATACATTTTATTTAACTTACTCACTACACTCATCAGGCGGGTTTGTGAGTGGAGTGTACCCCTCGCACTGATTTTTTCACACCACAAGCAACAATATGTACGATATTAATTTTCGAAATATTTAGATGGATATTTCGCCGTCAGGTCATTATGAGATTTTCATCCGTAGTTTAGTATGGAATACATACCATTCCATCTTCAACCTCTCTTTATTTTACAACAATAAAAATTGGGCAGGAGGACGTCTATATTTACTGGCCTTATTAGTGATTAAAATACCGTCATTTGCTGTACAAAGGGCATAAGATCTTTCCAGAGTTATTTTTTTAAGTCGCTGTTTTTACACCCTTAAGGTAGAACTGGATGAGGGGTTCTTTTATTCCACCATTACACGCTCTTAAAGTTTACTCGATTAGTAAAGTTAGTTACATTTAGATAATACTCACGAGATATTATATGCTTAAAGTAAGTTATACAGTGATGCTCTCACAAAAAGTTGAGGTAATATGAGTAACTGATATTCATTTAATGTGTAATGTAACCGGGAGACCCAAATGCTTCATTTAAAAATAATATCTCCAATATATTACCACCCAGGCATTGAAATGACTAGGTTTACTTATATGCAAACAAGTTACAGACTTTATACGTCCATTGCTGAGCACAGGTCTCTTCACCTTTCTGTAAGGGTTATGGAGGAGTTCAAAATATTTTGTTCAACGGATATGCGGGTTTTCTCACGGTATTTTCTTCTACCTACCGCCGAGCATGTGATATATCTGCACTTAAAAGGTAATAAAAAATATAAATTTGACAATTTGAAATGATAAATTTGATTTGTGCAAGATATGAATATTAAGTGATGATGATTCTGGATCGTAAAAAAAACGTAAGCTTAGGAAATTTCAATGAACTTAAATAACAAATAGCTATAGAATAACTATTAGGCTAAATGTATGTTAGCATTATTCTTATAATGTCAACACTAAGCAAAGACATTTAATGATGGGTCACGGAATTTAATTAAATCTAAAAATTACAACTAAAACATTTTTTGTTTTGTTTTTAAAACATACCATCAATGATTCCGATCCATCTGACGACGCCATAATAATGTTGATCAACATCTGTAGCGACCTCCACCAGCGAGCCGACGCCGATATCTTCCTGTGCGTGTAAGGGTAAAGATATTGACTCCGGTTGAGCTACTCGTGGAGACCCAAGTGCCGGAGAATCGTATAATTCCTCAGAGGCGTCGCCACTGCATACATCTAAATTTATTTATTTTTTTAATTTAATATCTTACTTTGGTAATTATTTCTAACTTATTAACATAAATCGTAACACATACTGTCTTCATATTCAAGCACACAAAGTGGTATATCATTGATATCTATGCCTTGGTAATAATATGTATGGGACATACTTCACGCTGAAACTAAAGAGCTAGTGCCAAACAACTACTCGTCTTCTACGCCGGTATAACTAAAATTAGAAATTGGGGAAACTATAATTAGACAACATACAACCGTATGCAGTTGGTGTTAACAGTAATGTTCTATGACATGAATAAAAATATTAAATAAAATGTAACTAACAATGTTATTATTATGTTTTGTTTATTAGTATGTTTTGTGTTTTAAAGGCATATTAAACAAGTCACTAAGTGCAGTAATAACAAAACCCTTCGACAAAATGGTAAGTTGCTTTTAATATTGTTTCGTTATCGTTACAGAAATATTTTCAATATCAGTTCAACATTTGTCCGAATACAACTTAATCAAGGGCATAATCGATCTTTTGTAGCTGTTATTGTCGTAATAAATTCACAATTCTGCTAATATTAAAAATGTGAAAATTTGTGTGGATGTTTGATAAAAGTTTTTGCTCAATCGCGCAAAAACTTCTGAACGTATGTTAATGAAACTTCGCAAGATGATAAACCAGAATAGGACATAGGCTATATGTTTTTGTAAAAAAAAGTTTAAGTCTATCTATAATGACATTTTTTTTATCCACAGTGCTAAAAATTCACCAATATACTAATGTCATTTCTTGGCGTGCGCTGCAGGAACTATAATAGACAGAACTCAAAAATTTACTAATTTAAGAAATGTATTTGACAAAATAATATACAAAAAATATAAATATGTACTCAGCTTATATTTTTTAAAATATATTGTCAAAGAAAGGTATTAGAGAAAATTATAGCGGTAGATTGACCGAGTAAATTATAATGATAGTTCACGGCTCGACTGAGTATGTAAACACCGATACGAATACACACGAAAATTCCTTTGACTCGTACTAAAAAACCGACAACGAGTTAAGAACAAGCGAATACTCAACAAGCCGTTTACATGTTCGTACTCATTCCTATTCGTCTGTGCTCGGTCAGTACCTTAACGTTGCAGATCGTTTAGGTACAATAAAGCTTCTAAAGATATAAATATAAAATAACATACTAAATGTATGTTATTTTATGTATGTAAAATACTAAATGTATAAAAATATTTCTAAGTCATGTGAAGTTCGCCAACACGCATTGGCGCAGCGCGGTAGACATTTCCTTGTCCTAAAACCCTCTCAGAAATGAGAGGAGGCCTGTGCCCAGCAGTGGGACGTAAATAGGCTGCAACTTTACTTTAACTTTTATACTAAATGTATGACCTTTAAAATTATATAACGATTTCTTTTATTTAAGCAAAACACTACGCATTGAATAAAACTAGTTTAAATTTTTTTATAGGATTAGGGTGACAAACGAGCACACAGCCCACCTGATGGTAAGTGGTTGCTGTGGTCCATAAACATCTACATCTATCCTCGATTACGTATCAAAATGCAGATGCGTTGTCACCCGTGAGGACTAAGATGAAATGCCTCATTTCCAGTAAAAAGGGTCTCCGGTTCTCTACACTCACCATAAGAAACATAACAGCATTAAGCTGCTATTTTACGTGGTATTCTGTGAAAACATGGTCCTTCCCTGGTCGAGACGACCCATTCGTGCTATAACTATATTACTAATATAGCTGCAGCATGGCTGTTTACGCAAATTATCACGTTTAATTGACTTATCATAAATGCCTTGGTAGGAATCGGTGCTTTTGCGAGAATTTGTGATCTACCAAATCTGATGTAATGGCGGGTGAAAGGTGGGGGTTCAAGATCACCAAAGGTAGCCATGGCTAACTAAACATTGAGGCGCTGAACACCTATTCCCCCGTGACCACGCAAGCTGCAATGTACTCCAAACGTCGGAAATGTAAAATTAAATTAAACGTGATAAAATCCCTATAATCATTCAATCATAATAATCATCATCACAGCATTACAAGTCCAATGCTGAACATACGCCACCCCCAAGAAATGACACAAAGCACCTGTGTCGCCTAATACGAAGTCGTCACTTCCGAACACCTCGGAACGATGACTTGGAAGTGGTCCCGAGACATCGTGAGAGCACTGCGAGGGTGCTGGGGGTAATAAGTGCTACCCCCGGGACATACTACTAATCGAACAAAGCGATGATGGGGGTAACCTCGATTACGTTCCGAATGAAGATCCCGGGATCGTTCATATACGCAGATGGTGACCATCATGTTGTTGTGGCCGGTAGGTAGGAGTCCGGCTTAACTTTTTCATTGCCCGGAAAGTATCCATGTGATTTTTAACCGACTTCAAAATAGGAGAACGATCTCATTTCAAAAAAATAATAGTAACAAATATTCAAAAAAATATAAACATTCGAATGTATACATTTTTTTGTATGTTCGGGCATAACTCTATTATATATAGACGGATTTGCATAATTCTTTTTTTGTTCGAAAGAGGTTTATTCCGAAATGGCCCTATTTAAATTTTGTAAAGATCAATTCAATTCAAAGATCAGACAATTTCTTGGTATTACTATTGACGCGAAACTTCAATGGGGCCCCCATATATCTAAATTAGCAAGCAGACTTAGTTCTGCAGCATATGCTGTAAGAAAGATTAGAAGTCTCACAGATGTTGAGACAGCTAGATTAGTGTATTTTAGTTACTTTCATAGCGTAATGTCTTATGGAATTTTGCTATGGGGTAATGCGACTGATATTGAAGCTATATTTGTTTTTCAAAAGAGAGCCGTACGGGCGATTTATAACCTAAATTGTAAAGACTCCCTCAGAGAAAAATTTAAAATAAGAAACATATTAACTTTGGCATCCGAATATATTTATGAGAATGTAATGTATGTGCATAAAAACATAAATAGCTTTAATAAGAATAAGGATGTGCATACTTTAAACACTAGAAACAAACATAAGCTTGTAATGCCAGTTACTAGACTCCACAGAATCAGTAATTCATTTATGGGGCAATGTATACGCTTTTATAAAAAATCCCAGAACATATTCAGAGTTTGTCAATAAACAAGTTTAAAAGTTTTATTAAAGAAAAACTGTACAAAAAGGGTTATTATAATATCAAGGAATACATGAATGAAAATAACCCCTGGGAATAAGGTGATCGCCACCATGCTGGTTCTATGAAAAATCATTTAAAAATTGTATAAACGAAGTTATTGTTAAGAGAAATATGTTTGAAAAAAAAGTCCCACTGGGTTTCTTGCTGGTTCTTCCCAAGACTGGGACGTTTTCCGAACCAGTGGTCAATAAAAAATGACTTTCAATAAGTATTATGTAATAATCAATATTGAATAAAAAATTATTCTATTCTATTCTATCTGACGGAGACAAACAATGGAACTCTTCAATAAATGCCAGCAAATCAACAGCGATTGTTGGTATCGCATTACTATACATTGTGTATACAGTCTCACAACATAACATCACGCCTATACCCTGTACCATAAACTATCAAAAATTACTAATAGTATATACTGACGAAATTTAAAGTACCACAATATATTTAAGGAAAATTTCGATTTTTAATGATAACTGTTAAATTAATATCTTACCTACTAATAAACCTGTCTCAATTTTCTTTGGTTCATGAACCATTTTGGCTTGGGAAGAAATCTCTTCAGGTTTTATAGATTTTACGGTTGTTGCTAATGACGATTTATTACGTCTTGATTTGTCAGGTGCTAAGTGATTGATAAGGTTTATAGACTTGATTCTTTCATTTTGTGATGAATTTTGCATAGTGAGTCGAAAATTTCTGGGCACAGTCCCATACTGGGCGCATTCAGGCTCACGGGGAGCTGGAGGCCAGCTTCCTCCAATGAGAGAAAAAAGATCCAACTAAAAATAAAAAAGTTTTATTACCATTCAAATTTTCAAACTTCAAGGACATTATTTCTACTTATTTGGTATTTACCAAACTTGCGTTTTTGTCATCAAAACTATTTTTAACAACATCCAAACACACTATCCACCTGATGATATTTGGATGTTGTTGCCAATAATGCCTTTTCACCAGTAGAAAGGGTCTTTTGTTCTTATTACTTGCTCCACAAAACATAGTGGCAATAGGCTGTGTGGTTTTTCCCTGGTCAAGCTGGCCCATACATTCTGCAGCCATAATACAAGCTATACCAAGTACAATAATTGCTTTATTTTAAGCAAAACTGAAGCAAATTGTTTTATTTAAAATTATGTTTAGAGATATTATATATAACTAAGCACAAAATGTTTAGGCAATTAATAACACCATTACAGTTAATATAGTTTACACAAATAAGCAAACATTAAAAAATATATTCACTTATTTACAAATAAACAAAGTATAAGTTCTACTTGTTATATTATAAGATTTTTAATTTCATTAATATATTTTAGTACAAATATATTAAGTAGTATAAATAGAACAGAACAACATCACAGAAATAACCATTCAAAGATAGTATAAATATAGTACAAGTTATAAAAAAAATTGTGCTCACATAATTTAATAAGAAGTTTAACTTGAAAATTCATCTTTATACAATATTTTAAAGAAAATCTCTTATGGCACTTGTGCATTACATGGTAAAACTATCATTCACTAATTATTTGTATGCACAATCAAGTCTGCTTGTTCACTATCCATCACTTTGTTGTCATACATTTTCACAAGGAGCTAGTACCACTAGGATAAAATTAAGAATTGCATATTAAAGATCCCCATTATGAATTTTGCTGTTTTGTCTAACTAAGCTTTATCAATGTATAAAAAAAATACTAAATTATATTTCATATTATTTGCCTTAGCTTTTTTCAGCACACATAAAAAAATAAAATTCTTTTAAATTCTTAACTTTATGTGCTTTTTTATATGTATGTTACTCAGTATCTTTGGCAATTGTGAAACAATTTTGGTCTGCTCTTTAGTCCACTTGAATTGTTAAAAAAATCATTAAATAGTGAAAACAGACTTCAAAACCTAAAAAGAATAAAATAATTTTCACTTAATGTTTTAACACCACATAACATGTGGAAATTATATAATTATATACCTATAATTCTTTGGGTGTTAATGCCACAGATGAAATAACTGTAGAAATATTGTTCTAAATTTTTAAGAGTTGTATTGTTTCATTAGGAATGATAATAAATTCATTGAAGTAGGATGACATATAACTTTTAAATAAATTTGTTGTTGCAATACATGCACTACCTATTGTAAGTTAATTGTACTATGCCTATAACCTTCACACAAGTGCAAGCAATCAGTTGACAAAGTTTTATCACTATCTGATGAACAGTATGGCAGCGCATAAAATACAAACAAACAAAAATTTATTTTTATATATTAGATTTAGCCTGATGAAAATATTACACTGAGTTGGTAAATATTATATTAGAATAGGCAAGTACTGTGACATGACATTAGGATCAGTAAAATTTCATGCAGTGCATAAGCATACATCCATATTTTCACTGCCATTGGAAACGGCCACAGGCATGACATTCTGTTTAGACTATCATGCCTGTGCACTGTATGGTTTAGTGTCCACTGGACAGTGGATGCTAAAATTACCATACAGTGCACAAGCACCTTTCTATCCTTTATAATATGTTACCAATTTAACTACACAATTCTGTTAACATTCATTATTGTTAATAACATACACATATTACACAAATATAAATTAATTAATTGCTTAAAAATAGTAAGTAATGTTAGTTTTAAATAAATATATACATAAGTCATTCACCCATCCTTTTTAGAAATAACATTTAGAAACATGGTGCATAAATATATCAGTGTGATTAGTTAAAATGACCATTATGTAAGGACAACCTGTGTGTGTGGATTGAGGCTTGAAGATTCGGGGTCTTGATGAGTTTCATTACTCATTCTGCTTGCTATGTGCTAGAGTCGAGTACATTTGAACAGCTACGTAGCGTGCTAATAATGAAGGACTTTATATATTACGATGATTACTGTATACAATATAATATAAATTTATATAATAAATATGTATTTACAAACTTTAATAGCTAACCTGTTTATTTCACTTATTCTTATCTCTTTTCCATAATCCTTCTTACGCAATTTAAATATAGCGATCAAACACAAATAATTGAATGTCTTTGAAGAAATACAAACTTGTATTTTTATACAAATTATTTATTACCGATCAAAAATAGCAAAAACTTGACAAAAACAAAAACAATACATCAATACATATTGTTTGTAAGTCATGTCATTGCACTGTCATGTATCCACTAAGTAGTCTGTGACTGTCATTCACAAATTATAAAGTTGTATGTACAAGACCATGGGGGGTCAACTCACTATGGAGCAGATGCAAACTTCGGGCAAAATAAGCGAAACAGAGACAGCGCTATACGCAAGACAGAGAAATCACTATTGAACCATGTTACGCATTGTATTTCAATTACAGTTTAGGAACTTTTATTTTTGCTTTTTAATATCTTTGTCGCCTGCCCATTAAAAATTATCTTTACTTATCTTATAAATTATAAACTATATATTTTATAATATACATAACAAATAAAAGTTGTTTAATCCATGAAAGTATAAATTAAATTATACGTTCCGATTATTTTTATGTCCGATTGAAATGATTACTCTGTGCAACAAGCTCTGTAGCCGAAAATATAAATGTATCTATGATTGTTGTGAAATAAAAACGTAAACTAGGTTAATATATTTTACATATTCATAAAATTAAGAAAATAAGAAGTTTCAAAGTACATTTTACATCAATTACATATTATTTTAAACGAGAATGTTTCAAATCATTTTCAAATTAAATGGAGTTAGTTTTGTTTAACTTTTCTAAGCCAAATTCAAAACTGATGTCGATTTAGTATATTTCGTAGAAAAATAACTTAAGTGTGGTGTTACTAGCCAGTGAATATTTAATTTATGGTGATTTATCAGAGTTGTATTACTTAATGAAGATGTTTAACGAATAATAATGGATTACTGAAAATGGTGTGTTCTAAGATGCGTCTATAATCATCTTTAATTGAGTACCCAAGTTTATTTCTGTGTCTATATTACTAGTCAATAATATATTTAAATCTCTATGAAAATAATTGTTTTATTTCTGAAAAACTATTAACCGTGTTCCATTCCAATTTTCTACTCATGTATCAATGCATAGCTAATTATTAACTCTTAATCTTCCTCTCAAGGTTTGTGTTATTAAATATTTAAAATTTCCAATTTGTTATTCATTTATTACTATTTCCATTTCAATTTTTTACTAATGTAGAATGTAATTTCTACATTCGTAGAAAATTGGAATGGAAATAGTAATATATTATGATTAAAATAGAATATTGAATGTGGGGTGGGCAATGAGGAATATACATATACACACGCACACATTCACATCTGTTAGTTCATGGATCAAAAACTGGCGCGCTAGTGTCGCAAGCTGTTGGCATTTTTATTGTATGAAGTTTTCGTTCTTCCCGTAGGGATGTGACATTGAGTGAAAAAAATCGATTAATAAAAAATCGATTTTTAGGTTTGTGATAATAATCGATTTATGAAAAATCGATTTTTATTCCAAGAAATAATCGATTCTTTTTCGAAAAAAAAAATATTTTATTCTAACAAACGCCTGCTTTCCTATATATTAATAAAACTACAAGATTAGTATAGTATTAACAATTTATCAGAATAAAAATCAAATAAAATGATAAGAATAAAATATAATCACAACGACAACCATGGTCGACGACAACGACAAATCTGGTTTCAAAATTGAACTACAAAACAATTTTTTAACGTATAAATTTAAACAATAAAAAACTAAAAATAATTACTGACACAAATATTCAGTGCCATTTAACAATGTATTAGAACAAACATAAAAAGAAATGTTAAGTTTTGTAAACGATAACTTTTTTAAACTAAGTTTGAACAAAAAAAAATCAAAATATTATTAATGCCACAAATGTTCAGTATCATTCACATTGGACTAGAATAAAAATAAAATAAAACTATAAGTATAAATAATCAAACGACAACCTTTTGTTCTCAAAACTAAAATAAAAAATAAATCTTTTTTTAACTTTTAAGTTTAAAAATCTATTAATACTTATTGCTACTCGTACTAATGTTCAGTACCATTTACATTGGACAAGAATGAAAATAAAATAAAAATATAATTATAAATAAACGACAACCTTTTGGTCTCAAAACTAAAATGCAAAATAAATCTTTTTTAACCTTTAAGTTTAAAGAAAAAATCTATAAATAAGTATTGCCACTAATGTTCAGTACCATTTACATTGGACTAGATTGAAAATAAAATAAAAATATAATTATAAATAAACGACAACCTTTTTTCTCAAAACTAAAATAACAAAATAAATCTCTTTTTAACCTTTAAGTTTAAACAAAACTTCTATAAATAATTATTGCCACTAATGTTCAGTACCATTTACATTGGACTAGAATGAAAATAAAATAAAAATATAATTATAAATAAACGACAACCTTTTGGTCTAAAAACTAAAATACAAGACAAATCTTTTTTTTTAAAGTTATGTAAACAAAAGAAAGTAAAATAATCATTGCCATACATTTTCCGTTAAAGAGTTTAAAAATAATAATTTTGGTAGTCTTTTTCCTAAAATACGGTTACGTGCTTTCCTAAGAATATTTCCCGCTTTGGAAAATAATCTTTCGGCTGGCGCGGAACTGGCCATCACAGATAGGTGTTTTAGAGCCAATTCTGTTAGCTTAGGCAAAGTTCCTTCAGAGCTTCTCCATATATTGAGGGGATCTCCCTTAATATTTGATAGCGGTGCCGCAATGTATAGGTCCAATTCTGTATTTTTGGGTATTGTCGTGTTGGCTGCCATTATTTTTTCATGGTGTACCTGCCATATATCTTGTCCGTCGACAGCCGCTCCTGATGAAAAAAATGATTCAGAACTAGCCGCTACTGGATTATCATCATTCCCGTTGTTCAAGCTCAAACATCTGTTCATATAATTTATTGTTTTTGACAATTGGATACCGCCTCATCTAAATATATTTTTTTGAATCTTGGATCCAGAAACGTGGCAACCGAAAAAAGGTGCACTTTTTGGATATTATCAAATCTTTTGCTTAATTCTGTTTGCAAGGATTTTTTTAGTTGGTTTGCCAAATCACTCGTTGGTGTTATACCATCTAACAGAGTTCTCAAACATTTAATAATAGGTATGGCTTTACTAGCTGTAACATATTTTTCTGCACTCATTTCTTTGGTAACATTTTGAAAAGGCTTTAAAATTTTTTCAATTTCTTTCAACACAACAATTTCGTTTGCTGTAAGCATTTGGGGCGCATTTGGGTAATTTATCAACACGGATCCTATAGTGCTGCTCATTAACACGAAACGTTCTATCATATGTAATTGCGAGTTCCATCTTGTGGATACGTCCCCTATCAAATGTTTCAATTTTCCTTCGGGAACATTTTGAAGCTTTTGCGCTTGTCGCAATTCTTCAGCGCCAACACCACTTTGGTGGAACCAAATCACGATTTTACGGACTCTGTCTAGAAAATGTTTTATATCAGTTGTATTTACAGAATTTTCGATCACCAAGTTCAGTGTATGTGCTAAGCACCTAACATGTTTTGCTCGACCAAAAAGAATTTCAATAGCTTTAACTATATTGCTGCCATTGTCAGTAGTAACGCTTACAATTTTTTCGTGAGACAAACCCCAATCTAAACAAATTCTATTTATCGTTTCTGACAAATACTCTCCTGTATGGTGATCGTGAAGTTGTTCACATGCAATGTTGGTTGACTTCATTTCAAAGTTTTCTATAAAGTGCACTGTCACGCCTAAAAAACTCCTCAACTGCATATCTTTCCATTCATCTATTGTAAGACAGACGTTTTTCACTAATCTTAATTTTTGTATGCTAAGAGTTTTTTTTCTTCATATTTAATATCTATGAGATCTGTGATAGTTTTACGGCACGGAACCTTATACAAAGGAGCTACAGTCTTCATTAATTTTTTAAAACCTACTCCTTCTACCATACTGTAGGGTAAACTGTCCCGGCATATCATTTCTGCTATGTTCAGAGTTATTTCCTTGTGTTTATCGCCATCTGAGGCGTATGCTAAAATTTTCGAAAAAGAAGCTCCAATGCTTGATCTGACACGCTTTGGTGTTGAAGGTGCAGCCTCAATTTCTGTTGATGAAGATTGTATCGACGCATCTTTGTTTCCAGACTTGCTGATATCCTGAATATCATCTTCACGGAAGTTCTACGGCAATTAAATAAACAACAGTTCATTTTACAAGAGTCAAAATTAATTCCTAATGCGTGCGAATTTCAAAAGCAATAAAGTGCGTGAACTTGCGCGTGAAAGTGAGTCATTTTGCTAATTAATTTTATTATGTTCTTAACAAAAATAAAAAATAAATATCAACAATTAAAATGTCGAATTATTTGTATCGAAGTATCGAAGGTCACGTGAGTGCTAGAGAAACTACGATTGTAAGATGTTGTCGATAAATAAAATGTTTTGAGAAATTACCATTAACTATGTAGTGGCGGTGTATGAATGTTCATATCATCCCGTGTGTGTCGTAAGAGGCGACTACACTTGAGGAAAAGTATAGTAAGTATTTTTAAAGTAATTATTTTTAAATGACCTATTTTACGTGGTAGAGCCATGCTGCAGCTATATCAATTGTATAGTAGTAGCAGGAATGGGTCGGCTCGACCGGGGAGGCACCACGCTCTCACAGAATACCAGCGTAAATTAGCGGTTTAGTGCTGCTGTGTTTCGTATGGTGAGTGTAGAAAACCGGAGACCATTTTTACTGGAAAAGAGGCATTCCATTTTAGTCCCCACGGCTGACAACGCATCTCCATTTTGATGTAGATGTCTATAGGCCACTGCAACCATTTACCGTCAGGTGGACTGTGTGCTCGCTTATCAACATTACCCTATAAAAGAAATCGTTCCGGTTACGAAAAAGTCACAGTGAAAAATAATTGTGACTTTGTCACGTTGATAACATTTACGTCACTTCTACACCTAAGGCAAAACTACACCTCATATGTTATAATCAAATAACTACTATGTAGAAAGATGCAAGGTTATAGAAACACTCCAAATTTCATAAAGAAAAGAAATATATAATATAACTGTATCAATATACTCAGTAGGAGCTTCTAATAAATAAATAAAAATTCAATCATAGGTATAAACGTTGAGTAAACGTAGTGAATATGTACTCTTTAGTTTCGAGGGGTCCCTTCTAAATATTACTATACTCTTTGGCGGGTTTTAAAAATTTGGCAGTTGAAATCCGATCGGTTTCGATCAAGTTACTATACTCTTTGGTTTCGATTCGCTGCCGTTTGATAGATAAATTTGTTTAAGTTAATTCTACCATGATATAGATATTTGCTTTTAATTTAAATGTTGAGATTATAAAACGTATGACTCGCAAGAAAAACGAACTTTACAGATTTCAGTATTTTACTGTCATAAGAACCATGGTTATTGCAATATAAAATATATTAATTTATGGTACTTACCTGGATAGCCTGTAAGACAGTGGGATGTTTTCGCTCCATATGTTGTTTTAAATTTGTAGTATTACTACATGTCTTTAATTCCTTCGGGCAATACTTGCATTGTGCTCTAGTATTATCCTTCTTCATTACAAAATACTCCCGCCAGCTACTTTTAGGAGTTTTAGACATTTTTATTGTTAAATAATTATTTACGCTCTCCAAAGAAAGAAATAAATAAAACCACAGGATACTAATTTTACTCTTGGCGGAGAAAGAAAACTGTTGAAAACTTGAAAATATACGAAACAGTGTTGCCACCTTGCAGAAAAATTTATCATTAGTTATGGTCTGAAATTTCACCAGATTTAGGGATATTTTTACTTAAAAATATCCTTTGAATTCACCAAATTATTTAAAAACAAATCACATGGTATGTAATAAAAATACAATTTTAATTGTGGAAATAATTACAATAAACACAACATATAAAATCGAGACGGCCTGCTGGTCACAGTATCTTCAACGGACAGACGAGTATCACAAGAGTGCAATATTTTTAAAGTATTCTCGCCACAATTTACAGTCTCATAAATATCTTTGTACTCATCACAGCGCTTGGGTGAATGTCAGAACTAATTAAAAGTTTCTCTAATCAGAAGCTTTATATTTCGCGGTAACGGTTTCTCTGGCACACGTGAAACAGTGTGAATGAGTGCATGTGTGGCAAACACAGCTGAATCTACCCCGATTTCAATTAAGTTTTTTATTAGGAGACATTCTTACATTTCAATATTCACATATCAACCTATCAGTATTCAGCACTCACTGAAACCAACTTTAAATACGATTAGGTCCTCATTATTAGTCGGGAAAAGTCCAAGGTAGGCTTAGCATAACCAAACAAAGATGTCTAATTAAGTTATTGTAATGTGAGAAAAGGATAGTGCTGTTTTGACATAAACTGGGAATTTACCAACAGGTAAAGAGGGTTGCTAATATGTATTTTCTAAATTCTTCAAGATTTGATAAATATCATTAAAAGTCATCAAATAATTTTTTAGTGATTATCTTTTTCAGAATATCACTATCTATCTCCAAAAATTCACTAAATTAGTGACAAAATCATTAAAGTGGCAACACTGCGTATTACGAATTCGTAATACTTCGTACTTCGTTTGTACTTCGTATTACGAAACGAAAGGCGAAACTGTTTTATATATTTAGAGATACTTACAGATGGCGCTGACTTTTGATCGACTTGTTCATTTTAGTAAACTTACTTCGCGTTTTTTCTTCGGTCACACAGATGACGCTGTTCTTTTGATCGACTTATTCATGTCATTGAACTTACTTAACGTTTTTACATCCATCGCACAGATAGCGGTGTTTACAAAAATCGATTAAAACGTGTAATTTACATAATCGATTTATTAAAAATCGATTTTTATTACCAAAAAAATCTACTTTTAAAAATCGATTTTTAGAAAAAAATAATCGATTAATATAATAATCGATTATTTTTTAACATCCCTATCTTCCCGTCAGGGTACATGTGTTCTGTGTACAAGACTGTCACTGTCTTTAATCAATAATGTCAAATAATTGCATCTATACATAGACTGCACTAAAAGTATCGGGAATGGAATATTTCCACTGTTCCTGTCATATTAAAATCTTTTTAATTGAAAACTCCTTGGTTTTTTAAAATTGAATACCATTTAGGTATTTATTTAAAAAAAGATTCTCGGTCTTGTCACAAGGTTTTGTCAAACTTGTTTAGTCGTTGAAAAAATGGAATTGACTCGAGAAAATTCAAGAGTTTCGTTAATTCGATAATTTATTATGACTTTCGAAGTGGTTTAACACAAAAACAGTGTGTTGACCGGATGATTTCTGCATTTGGTGATGAAGCCCCATCCAAAACCACAATTTATGGCTGGTTTGCTGAATTTCAACGTGGACGTGTCAAGCTCAGTGATGATCCCCGTCAAGGTCGTCCAAAAACTGCAGTCACCCAAGAAAACAGTACAGACCCGACCTAAGCCCTAATGATATCTATACTTTCCCTAAAATAAAGAATAAATTGCGTGGACAGAGATTTTCATCACCTGAAGAAGCTGTGGACGCCTACAAAATGGCCATTTTGGAGACCCTAACTTCCGAATGGAATGGTTGCTTCAATGATTGGTTCCATCGTATGGAAAAATGTGTAAAATTTCGCGGAGAATACTTCGAAAAGCAATAAATACATTTTTAAATAGTAATGTTGTGTCACTTCCTCGATTCCCGAAATTTTCAGTGCCGGCCTCGTATAATAAATCTGTAGAAAAGTCGTGTCTGTAATTCTAATATATTCTTGAAAAAACTAGTCCAGGGGACTAAATAAAGGGTTCTCAAGCCAAATCAGTGGATTTTAGAATTCTGTCTGTCTGTCCGTCTGTCTGTCTGTCTGTCTGTGTATTCTGGATTCACGCAAAAACCACTGGACCGATTTACATAAAATTTTGTATGTAGGTAGTTAGTAATCCGGGGCAATTTATAGACTACTTTTATCCGATTACGGAACTTCAAAAAAAGAAGGTTAAGTATTTTCCTTCCTTTAAATGTTAATTTTCTATTATATATTAGTTATAGGCGGGATAACGGGTGTTTTTCAAATATTTATATATCAAATATTAATAATACCATATTTATAAATAATTTATAAATAAAGTTTAAAATATAGTTATAAACTTGATAAAATACACTGATGTAGTTATCAAAATAGCGTAATCTATCATCAAATGGAAAAATTAGTATATTTTGCATTCAGTTACTAATAAATTAAATAATATAAATAAAAATATGTATATGTTTAAGTAATAAGATTTTTAAAATTATTTAAAAATTGTAACGTTTAGTTTTTTTAGTATTTTTGTTATTTTATTTTAAAAGTGTAATAATGTCAATAGATAATAGTGACATCTATCAAAAATATGAAAATTGATAAGGTTTTTATTTCAATTATACTAATCTATATGTAAACTGATTAAAACTGGTCTGTTTGCAATTATTGCAAAATTTTAGTTATCTTTATAGCTTTATTAAACATATTTTTATATATGTCGTGACCAGATCGTAGAATTGATCATATACCTATCATAAAGTAGTCTAACATTTCGTGAAATGGTGTGGTAATTTCATGATATTTAGCACTGTTTGTTGACCATCTCTTGATATAGCTTGACAAAAAAAATTTTTATTAATTACATTATAAATGAATAAACCAAACTATAAATAGAACTTAAAGTAGAAAAATTAAAAAAAGAGTTATAAAGTGCAAAAAATTAAAAATCAAACTACTGACTCATTGTTGTATATATTAATATAATACTCTAGATAATGATAAATTATTATTTAAAACTAATTTCTCAATTAACTGACACTATGTAACGAAAAACTTTACCTCAGTCACAACTAGCGACATCTGGTGAGGGGAAGATTATTAGCCCTCATTAAATAATAGAATGTTACTGAATTACGATGTAAATAATTGAAAATTTGTTCGTGGCATCGTTGGAAGGGTAATTACTAGGTAGATGTGGTCAACAATCATACACAAGCTTAGTTTCAGTTTTTAGAAATTGTATTTAAACAAATACGAGGGCCGTGTAGCTCTCGCCGTGAGATTTCATCGTAGCACGGGAGCAAAACTGTTATAGAAAACTTTACGTGCTGACTTAACACGTGTCCGTTAAAGTGGTAACGAATAACTTCGTGGGGAAACCTAGATGTCTGAGTAATTAAAGTAGTCGTGGAGATGTAAAACAGTTAATATGCATTAAAGCATTGCAGTATATTCTATTTTTCTGCCTACAAAACACTATAGGTAATGATGAGCCCTGTGGACATTAGTGAGACGTATATTAGCTGCTACTTTACTTTTTTTACCTTTAACGAGACTTATAAATCAGTTTGTAAATTAAAATAGCTTTCATATTTTCAAACACATTAAGATATATTTGATAGACCTGGTTTCATAGCTCATATGAATACCTATATGTAAATGAACAGGCTATTGCGGAAAAATACTTACTGACTAATTAAATAAAGTCGGTTTTACTTAAACAAAGGTTAATTTTATTTTACTTGTCAATAGCGGTAATCAAACTGATTAAAACTTAAATTTCATGGTACGTAAGCATTATTATATATTTTAGCATATATTTGAATTGCAATTTGGAATGTCAAATTACCACATTTTTGGCGGTAAAGGAAAATAAAAGTTTCGCAGTTGAGGACATCCCGCGTTGGAATTGCGCAGCGACGACTTTTGGCCAAAAACTCGGCGGCCTGTGCCCAATAGTAACATGTATGTAAGCTGCTACTTTTTTACTTTTCATGGGGCAATAGTATATGCAGTATTTATTTCATTCATATTTTCGAGTCTGTTACTTTTTTGTTTTCCCTCTACCGTAAATATTAAGGGTTGCAAAAATGAGTAGAACTCATTATCGTCACCCTATCAAAAGTCCACTGAAATTAACATAGGCCTCCCCCATAAATTGTCAAGTAGCTGGATATTTGCTATAGTTGCCACGTTTGGTAGGCGGGTTGGCAACCGCAGATATTATTATTTAGGTACATCTGTTGTCAGGAAAATGATGCTGCCCATCTCCTGTTTGTTTTCCTATGTCGCCTCTTACGACAGGACGATATGAGGTGGCGGATTCTCTTTCACCGCCACAACAAGACGAACATTTTTCTACTCCCGTTCATGAGTGTAGTGATTCCCACGTTCACTGTGAATAAAATTTATAAGCAATGAAACTAATTTTAAGGATTTTATCGCGTTTTATTTAAACTTTTTTTATTCCCGATCTTTTGGGCACTTTACAGTACCCATGGTCACAGGAGGACTAAGGTGTTTGACGACCTGATATCATATTTAGAATTGAATAGAATAGAATAAAAATAGAAATGAATACAATAAATGCAATACTAGTATGCTTGGGTTTGAATTTAATTTTATTAATTACTAGCTGTTCACCGCGACTTCACCCGCGTGTAATTTAGGATTTTAATTATGTTGCGCGGAACCTTAATCGTTTTTCTAAAATATAAGTAGCCTAAGTTACTTCCTATAACATCAGCTATCTGCCAGGTCCAGCCGTTTCGGAGATTAGCCGGAACAAACAGACAGACAAAAA